CATCCTTACTGATCACATGTCCCAAAAACATAACATTGTCAAGCCAAAATTCACATTTAGTCAGTTTAGCATACAGTTTCTGTTCTCTTAGGGTCTGTAGGGCAATTCTCAAATGATGTTTATGTTCCTCCGTGCTTTTGGAATAAATTAAAATGTCATCTATGAATACAACAATAAAGTCATCGAGGAATGGTTTAAAAATTCGGTTCATAAGGTCCATAAATGCAGCTGGTGCATTAGTAACTTCGAAGGGCATAACAAGAAATTCGTAGTGTCCATACCTCCTTCGAAAGGCTGTCTTTTCAATGTCCCCTGTCTTGACTTTCAACTGGTGGTATCCAGATCTAAGGTCAATTTTGGAGAACACTTGGGCACCCTGTAACTGGTCAAACAAATCATCAATACGAGGCAATGGATATTTATTTTTCACTGTTACCTTGTTCAGTTCACGGTAGTCAATGCAGAGTCTCAATGAGCCGTCTTTCTTTTTCACAAATAAGACCGGTGCGCCCCACGGTGAAGTACTGGGCCTGATGAACTTCTTATCTAGCAGTTCTTGTAGCTGAACTTTCAACTCTTTCAATTCAGTCGGTGCCATTCTGTAAGGAGCTTTAGATACTGGCTGTGTACTCGGAATCACATCAACGGTGAACTCAATCTCTGTATCAATCAAATCTCCTGGCAAATCATCTGGAAAAACATCTAGGAATTCTCTGACTATAGGAATACTGTTCACATCAGTTTTAGCATCAGTAGATACAGTCAATACACAACACATATATCCTTTACACTCCTTTTTAATCAGTTTAAAAGCTTTCATGGATGAATCAGATACGGAGGAGGTACTACTCCAACTCCGTTAAACACAAATTCAGGCAGTCCAGGTGGACTTTAAACTACTTGTTTTGTTACACAGTCTATACTAGCATGATATTTTGTTAACCAGTCCATTCCCAATATCACATCAAAATGATCAATATTCAGAGGCAGTAAATCAATATACAGATGAACATCCCCAACAATAATTTCACCTGCAGGGTACATATAAGCACAAGTCATGGATCTCCCAACAGGTGAAGATACAGTTAACAGATAGTTCATGGGTTCCAGTGGTCTATTTAATTTGCGCGAAAAAGCATGCGATACATATGAATGTGTAAACCCTAAATCAATTAGAATATATGCATTTTGAGCACAAATTGAGAGTATACCTGACACAATGGTCTCGGTATTCTGTACGTCTCCCGGTACGAGTGCGAACACTCGGCCTTGTCTCGTAGGCTCTTTTCCAGTCGCTTTGGGGTTGGGTTTCGGTGGAGCAGTTGATGCTGCGGCGTTTGGTGCAGCTTTACTATTGCCCTGAGGAGCAGATGGGCAATCTTTGATCATGTGGCCCACCTTGCCACACCTGTAACAAGCACCAGATATTTTATAGCAAACCCCCTTATGTTTTTTACCACATTCAGAACAGGGCGGTATAGAAGCACTTCCCTGACTGGAACTGGTTGTTGACCCTGTATTTTGCTTTTTGTTCAATGAATTATTTCTGCCTTTCTTAAACTTGAAGCCTCGCCTCTTACCACGCCACTCGGTTCCCGGTGTTTCAGTCTGTTTCAGTGCCTCGATGTTCGACTCAGTTATTATTGCTCGGTCAAGAACATCCACACACTTAAGCAGTTTCAAAACATTAATTCTGTCAAGTATTTCCACATTAAGGCCACCTTCAAACTTCCTGGCCTTCTTGTAGTTAATGTCCATCATGTGTGGTGCATATCAAGTAAGTTCAGTAAACTTTGATTCATACTCTGCTACCGAAATGGTGCCTTGTTTCAGTTGTTCAAATTCAGTCACCTTTCGGTCCCTGACACACTGTGGGAAGTATTTCTCAAAGAAGGCTCCCTTAAACTGAGCCCAAGTCATAACAGTGTCGGTGTCACGGACAAGCATCCACCACCTTCTGACCTCTTCTTGTAAGGTTAAAGTATCCAGTAGCACTTTGTGTGCTTCAGAACACGGAAAGACTTCAAACAATTTCTCGGTCTCTAGGACCCATGCTTCGGCCTTTAAGGGTTCAAGGCCTCCCTGGAAGAATGGCAGTTTCATCTTGCTAAACTTCTGTGTCAGAGCTATTATATCATCATTAATATTCTGTTCTGGTTGAACTGGAGGAGGTGGGGGCTGTTGGTTCTGTTGTTGTAGCCTCAAGGCCTCCGTCAACATTTTAACTGTTCTTTCTAGCCTTGCCATTCTGGCCTCAGATGATTCAGTTCCATCAGTAGTTCTCGCATTCTCCATTTCACTATAGGCAATTATGGCAATTATAAACATAGACAGTTGCATACTTAACATATTAACATATTAGTACGTATATTTATGTCATGGCAATACACACTTATCAATGCTCATGCAATGTCCTATTCACTTTTCTAGGACATCCTATAGCTCATTTGGATACGTGTGTGCGGTATAACTCGTGGTTTAGTATCGCTCTGATACCATTCTGTCACGGTCCAAACCCGCCCCTATGGGTTTAGCACCGTAACCAGCTAGTAATCCGAGATTACCGAAGGCCTGCTTAATAGTAATACAGAGTACAGGGGCTGGCGGAAGCCAAAACAGTAATTAAAAGATGTCCAATGAGCTGTGACATTCTGTATGCAAAAAGATTTTTCAAAACATGTTCACATTCAGAACAAAAACAGTATATACATACATCATTTACAGGCATTCAGGTTAGGGACCAAATCCCTACCATAACAGTACAGTAACAGTCTATACAGTCTATACAAAACAGAGACAAAAAAGGAGAAATCTAAAACACCCCAAAGCAGCCTTAGCTTGGCAGCACTTGGAACCTCGCAGTGAGGTACGTTGGTTGGCTTGACAAAAAGGGAGTTTAATTTTGCAATCTCCTCTTCAAGTCTTCTAAATTCAAGCAAGGTTTTCTAGTTGAACTCAATTTTCTTCCATGTCTCTCTCTCTCTCTCGTTTGGCCTCTAAAGATGAAATGGATGATATAACAAACATGAATGAAGTAGTAAGGGATGGTCTGGAGTCAAACCACTAAGTGGCAAACTTGTAGATAAGTCCAACTTTTGTAATTTATCAATAAATAACCTAATTTAATTATACCAAATCATATTTCAATTAAATATACCATAAAATCACATTATTCTAATTAACACAAAGCATTAATCAATTTCTGATTCGGCCGCCGATAAGGCCTTCAATTTGCAGTTTAAAACATAAAACATGAATAGATCATTTAACGGTCAACAGATAGAAATGCATTTAAACTAATACACTAAATCAATCAGTTCAGAATTTCAGTCAATCAGTCAGTTAACATGCTTAATCATAGATTAGCACTAATCAGTGATGAGGGTTGTATTACCCAGGGCTGTCGACAAACCTAGAAGGGAACAACGAGGGCTTCGATTATTGTGGGTGAGGAGGCCGACTGACCTTCTGAAGCAGAGAAGGCTTCAGTTGCCCTGGGTGAGGAGGCTGACTGGCCTTCTGAAGCAGAGAAGACTTCGGCTGGCCCAGAGGAACCTTCAACTGGCCTGGGTAGAAGCCGACGGGCCTTCTGTTGCCCTGGGTGAGGACCGATTGCCCTGGGATACTTGGAGGTGACCTTTGGTTGGTGCAAAGGTTCTCCTATTGTGGCTCTGATACCATGTAGATTTAGAGAAGAGAAAGAATTAGGGTATGAGTTAGACCTCATCTCCTTTTATATAGATAGTAATCAGTAATTACAAGAGTGCCAAGGCATAAATTATGGGCCAGCCCATTACACCAATTACAGGAGAAAATCAAATAAGAATAAAATCACACAATATAAACAAAGTCTGCCTGTCCCACATGCACTGAGTTACTACAGGAAGAATTCCATGGGATGACCCAAAAGAGATGATTTGGAATCAGCACCTCCACTTTGTGAGGCAGTAGCTTATCGTGGCTGTCTTGTGTATCCTTGAGTTTGATATGGACATAATATTATCATAGAATACGATGGTGCTGGATGGTTAAGGAATATATAATCTATGCAAACTTACATTTTTAATGGTGATAGTAGGATGCAGTTAGTATATATCCGTAAGGGAAGAAACTCATATATGATATGTAGTGAGATGCTTTAGTTTCTCTTTTTAATTGCATTAAACTATGTTTGCTTGTGTTTCTTGTTCTATTGGTTTGTCTTTGGTCCAGTTAAGTCATTTGGCTAGCAGATCACAGTCAAAACATGTATGAATTTTGTTAACCTTTTGCAGGGGCGACTCCAGCTTGTAGGTGATGGGGTCCCCTTCCCCCATCAACTTGTCAAACACTGTTAAAAAAAAATTATTTATATTATAAATGTTATAATTTAACCTCAATAGAACACTAAGGGATCACATCATATAGTTTGACATCAATAAATGAATAATTTCTTGATTACATATATACATGAAAATGTGTTTGACATTATTAACAATGAAGTTATTATGCAACAATTTCTAAAAAATAAAACCTCATTAAATGCAACCGTAAAAGTTTATATACTTTTCTGTTAAGACAAAATAGCATAATATTTTTGCAGTTTATTCTACTTAAAGTTTGAGAAGTTTAAGACATTGTTTGAGGTTTAGCTTTTTAAATAATTTTTTGGCTTTTTGGATGTTTTATAAAGTGAAAAAGTCGATGTATTTGATAATGACTTTTCTATTTGTATGAAAAAACATAACTGGTATGTATGACTTACTTTTTTTAGGAGTTTTTAGCTTTTTGTTTTTGGATTTTTTTTGGTACTTATTATTTTTTTTAAATAAACCTTTTGGCTTTTTCTAGCCTAAAAGTCAAAGTTTTCAAACAAGGTCTAAATGTTGTTTAGTTTAAAAGTTCTTTATTATTATTATTTTTTTTTTGAAAGAATTTGTGGAACTTGAGCATGCATAGTGACCCCATCTCTAAAAATTTCTGGAGTTGCGACTGACCTTTTGATTTTTTCTTTCTGGCAGCTAGTTTATCAGCTATTTACAACAGATGTAGAACCAAGGGAAGAAGACATCAAGATAGTGATGCAAATGGCAGAAGAAGCCGTCCGTGCTCAAGAGAGAGATCCTTACACTGCATTTGCAAACCGAGTGAGGGAGCTCAATTATGGAAACTCCTATTTTTTTAGGGTATGATTGACCTTCTGATTTAAATTATCATATTTTTTTGATGGATTTGTCCTGCTTATGATTTAATGGTAATTTCTTCTTATGCAGCCAATTAGAATTGGTGACCTTAAAAAAGTTGATCCGTTTAAGGCTTGTGAATACTTCAACAATTGTTTTAAGGATCCCTCGACTTTTACAGTTGTGATTGTTGGGAATATTGATCCTGCTATTGCATGCCCCTTAATTTTGCAGTATTTGGTAAGTCATCAAAGCTGGCTAGGCCAAGCGTCTTCTAGTATTCATTGTTCTTTTTTTGTTTTGTTTTTGCTGGGCTTCTAGTATTTATTGTTAAATGGATTTGTGATTCATCATGATGTAGGGTGGAATTCCAAGACCTCTTGAACCCGTTTTCCATTTCAGCCGTGATGATCTCAAAGGCTTGCCTTTCACTTTTCCTTCGACCATAATTAGGTAGGTCTGCCTTTGATTTTTATTTTATTTATGTTAGTGCTAAATCAGGGGTGACCATTGGTTCAGTTATAAAACCTTGGCCTAATAACCTTGAGGTTACGGATTCAAGTCTCGGGGCAACCACTTTGTGCACAATGCCAAAGGTTAGGTGTGTACCCAATCTTTCCCCTCCCAAACACACATTAATGTGTACTAATTGAGCGTTGTTTTTTTAATGCTAAATCAATGTTTCAAAATTTTCACAATTGTTGGAATGGTAGATAGCGAGTATGGGATTAATTCGTTGGACCTATTGATTTGTTGTGATTTGCACTGGCTTAAACTTTAAACTTTAATACAATGACTTGAGGAAACAACCATTAATATTTTTCACAGATGGAGGTTGTGAAACCATTAGTATGTACTCCACTGGCTATGCTTACTCCTGGAGGAGCTGACTTGGAAATGGTGGTCTTCAGAATATCTGGGGCTTTGACTATGTTAAATGATGATGTTGGGTTGAAGGATGGGCCTGGGTGAAGGGGTAAGTAGATTAGGTAGGGGATCTAAACTCGTAGTGGTGAAAAGGTCAAGGTATTGGCTATTGCGATGGATATGGGAGATGGAACAGGGAGGATGAAACCTGTTAGGAGAACTGGAGTTAGAAGTGAGAAATAAATTAGTTGAAGCCAATATTGTAGCTGGTGCTTCAGGAAGAGAAAGGCACTGTCAAGAGGAGGAGATAGAGCAGGTGATGGGGACCAAGGAAGGGAAAGAATGAAGACATATGTGAGGCGCAAGAGGGTCCAACTGGAAGATTAGTTTTTTGGGTAAAATTCACTTTATTCCTCTGTGGTTGGCCCATGTTTGCATAACCCCCCTGGTCAATAAGCACATAACCCGTAGTGGTTTGCGGTCTAAAGTGCACCATCAGGCCCGTTAACAGCTTAACCGAAAAGACTAAATTACCCTTGTACATAAGTAACTCATTGTCCAAACCACATACATTTTTGTCATTTTTAGGGAGGCAAAATTCACTTTAACCCTGTGCTTTACTCTATGTGCAGTTTATTCCTAATATTTGGAAATGAGCACATAACCCCCTTATATCCTGTCACGTGTTTTACACTTGTCATCTTGGACGGAATGCCTGATGGTGCACTTTAGTCCACAATGGGGGGTAGGGGTGAGCAGTGGATATATCGATCCGCCAAAACCGACCGAACCGAACCGTACCGAACCGATCCGTTGCATTTTGGACGGATGCGTGATGATGAGCGGACGGTTGCGGATTGATTTTCTTTAATCCGCCAATCTGGCGGACGGATGGCGGATTTGAGATTCCTTTGGCCGCAACCGTCCGCTCATCATCACGCATCCGTCCAAAATGCAACGGATCGGTTCGGTACGGTTCGGTTCGGTCGGTTTTGGCGGATCGATATATCCACTGCTCACCCCTACCCCCTACTGTGGACTAAAGTGCACCATCAGGCATTCCGTCCAAGATGACAAGTGTAAAACACGTGACAGGATATAAGGGGGTTATGTGCTCATTTGCGGTAAGACTACAGCGCTTATTGTTTATGTAGATGACATAGTTCTTACAGGCAATGATAGTGGGGAAATCCCTCTGTTGAAGAAATATTTAGCCAAAGAGTTTGAAATCAAAGACTTGGGAAGCTTGAAGTATTTTCTGGGAATTGAAGTTGCTCGCTCTAAGGATGGGATATTTATCTCACAGAGAAAGTATGTGCTTGACCTGTTGAAGGAAACTGTGATGCTTGGCTGCAAGGCCTGTGCCACCCCACTGGAACCCAATCAGAAATTGGGGGATGATGAAGGAGGAGAAGTTGTGGATAGGGGGAGCTATCAACGTTTAGTGGGTAAGCTCATTTACCTATCTCACTCCCGTCCTGATATTGCTGTTGCTGTCAGTGTAGTTAGTTAGTTTATGCATGCTCCTCATCATATTCACTTTGAGGCTGTCATGAGAATCTTGAGGTATTTGAAGTCTGCTCCTGGTAAGGGTCTGTATTTTTCAAAGTATGATCATCTTCGTGTGGAAGCCTATACAGATGCTGACTAGGCTGGATCAGTAACAGGAGATCGACTTCAGGGTATTGCACCTTTGTTAGAGGCGACCTAATTACTTGGAGTAAGAAACAGAATGTGGTTACCAGATCAAGTGTAGAAACTGAGTTTAGAGGTATGGCACAAGGGATGTGTGAGCTTTTATAGATCAAGTTATTGTTAAGTGATCTAGGTATTGATCAGACAGACTCCATGCGGTTATACTGTGAGAATAAGGCCGCTATCAACATCGCTCACAATCCGGTTCAACATGACAGGACAAAACATGTTGAGATTGATCGCCACTTCATTAAGGAGAAACTCACTAGTGGTACCATTTGTACTCCTTTTGTTCAGAATGTGGTTGCCAGGTCAAGTGCAGAAGCTGAGTTTAGAGCTATGGCACAAGGTGTGTGTGAACTTTTATGGATCAAATTATTGTTGAGTGATCTAGGTATTGCTCAGACGGACTCCATGCGGTTATATTGTGATAATAAGGCCGCCATCAACATTGCTCACAATCCAGTTCAACATGACAGGACAAAACATGTTGAGATTGATCGCCACTTCATTAAAGAGAAACTCACTAGTGGTACCATTTGTACTCCTTTTGTTCAGTCTGGTAAACAACTTGCTGACATTCTCACCAAGGGAATTGGGAATAAACCGTTTCATGACATATTAGGCAAGCTGGGCATGAGAGATATCTTCGCACCAGCTTGAGGGGGAGTGTTGGCATATTATAATCACCGAAAGGCACTTAGCATATTATATTAGCCGAAAGTCACTAGGGTCTGTAATCATTTTTATGCACTCAGGGATCATCTTGTAATTGTCTTCCTTGTAAACTCTAATCTTCATTTATAAATAAGGGGTGATATCTCATCATACCCTAAGCTGGTTACTCAAGCTTCAATACTCACATAATTTACCTCTTTAGGGCAATGATTGAAGTTCTCATAGCATGCAGTTTACAAATCATATTTGTATCAGGTTCCAATACTTGGCGCCGATTGAAAAAAGGTTCCAATAATCTTTGAATACTTGCAGAGATTGATCAACATTTCCTAAAAATATCCATACATTAGATATATACACATTATATATACCTGCATCTATTTTGAACTAAAAAATACGTATCCCAAATTTCTTGAACTCTTGTAGACACGTCTGAATGCTTTGAAATTTGAGATGTTTCTGCTTCTCAAAATTTGAGATGTTCTCTGTACTCTTTGAGTGTAATTGTTAGGAAAAACACAACTAGTGTTTCAAACATTTGCAATATTTCTTATATAGGGAAATGAGTGAAACTAGTAATAATTTGTTTTGAATTTGGTACCAACTTCTAGTCCATGCAACATAGCCATCACTTTCTCGCATGAATTATTATAATGAGTTGGAATGTTGATAAAATCATAACAATTGGTTATTTGTCATCATTATGTGTACCTATGGGATAGTGCAGCAGGTTGAATATATGATCTAAACCTTGCTCATATGTTTTGTTTCAGGGATATCGTGCAGCAGTTTGAATATTCAAATATTGGAGCTACTGAGCTAATTCTGTCAAATGGCATGAGAGTTTGCTATAAGTATACGGACTTCTTCGATGACCAGGTATAAGCTTGTGTGGGCAATATAGTAAAAAATTTACATTTTGAATTTCCTGTGCATGGGTGAGATGGTTTATTGAACACTATCTTATACTGACATAGAACACAGACCTAGAATTCAATTAGAAGTTTCACTAAAGAATTAAAGATAGAAGAGTGTAAATTCAAATTTTCAAATTAAATAAGAATTTGGCAGGAAATGTTAATGATATTACATTTTTGTATACATATACAGGAAATTCATTGTTTTGAGAAAGAGCTAATCTACAAAGAAGCATGTACTGCCAGTTTATGGCACAAACATTAACTGGAATCCCTATGCACTGGCTAGCATGTTGATACAGTAGATATTTAACCTAGTTTCTACCAAATTATTTATTTGTTTGCTTGTTGATTTAAATGAGTGAATATCCTCTAGCATCGGTCATATCATAATAGTAATTACTATTAACATTTTGTTTAAATAGGTTCTCTTCACAGGGTTCTCATATGGGGGTTTATCTGAACTGCCAGAAAATGAATACTTTTCATGCTCAATGGGTTCAACCATCGCTGGAGAAATTGGTGTTTTTGGTTATAGACCATCAGTTCTAATGGATATGCTTGCTGGTAAGAGAGCTGAAGTTGGAACAAAGCTTGGAGCATATATGAGAACCTTTTCAGGTGACTGCTCACCTTCGGACCTGGAAACTGCCTTGCAGGTTTGTACTTTAGATAGCCTCTGTCCAGTATTCTGCTTTCTTTTCCACAAAGCACTTTAATGTATATATGTGGTGGGTTGCACAAAAGGATTTAGAATGTCACATTCTTCTATATTCTGCCAGCACATCAACAAGTGTCAGACTGGCATAATTGTTAGATTGCAAACACTTTGTACTGTCCAACCCTATTTGTTTCATGAGGACTGGAACTAGGCTGGGGGATTGAGGAGCCCAAATTCCAAGCCTTGAAATATCTCCTCACATTCTACTGTATGTTTTTGTGGGGTGTACTATGGACATACCTGTGCACGAGGCTCCCAGTTAGAGAAGGATCTAGGATAGGTAGTAGGTAGGGTGGCTTGCTTCTGCTCTTTTGTGGAGAGACTGATTCCTGCGACTTGAACCTGCGTCATAGCATCAGGGCAAATGATCATGGCCTCTATTTTTTGGGATTTGTTATTACTAATGAAAAAGAAGAAGTCACGTAATATAATATTACTCAACCCAACAAAGCTTTAATCCCTTATGATGTAAGATTACTAGTTATAAATGTTACAGTGGCCCTCTGAGATGTAACATGTATATAAGTATCTCCTCCTTGAAATCCCCAACTCTGCCTTCTCTTCTGCAATTCTCTTGATCAGTTGGAAGCCTTTTTCCATTGATGCCTTCTGGTTTAGTACTACTATGAACTATAAGTTTTACCTTTTCTAAGTAAAAAGTCATTTTAGATTATGGTCGCTCCAAATCTTAGTCCTAAAAAGCTCCTCATTATAGGAACCTGTCTCCATTCCCTAAAAGGTTGTGGTTTAATTGGTGTGAAAGAAGTGAAAACACTTAAAACAAAAGGGCCAGGCCAATGCACAAGGCTCCCTCAAATTCAAGGTCGATTAGATGTATGCAGCCTTACTCCCCTCCCCATGTGATAGGCTGTTTTTGTGTTTTGAATCCATGATGTTTGGGTTGCAATAGGGAAATGTTACTGTGGTGCCAACACCTGCCCTCTAATTAGGATTGCCTCAAAATACCATCCAGTGGATTGTGGAGATTTGTGAGACTACTAGTAGTTCCTATCCCCCTTGAGTTTGCGGGGGGCTGTTAAAACCTATCACCTACTTCACCCACTTAAACCTATTCCACTAAACCTAACCCACTACACCACTACCACCTCCACTTCACCTACTCCTTACCTACTACACACTCACCCTCTTCTATATATAGGAATCATGAATCATTGTAATAGATATGAATATATATCAATCAATAATACATCTATTTCTTACAAGTATATAGATATCTTTGGGCTGCTGGATTTCTCCTCGCTCTGGTAGCACAGGGACTTAATAATTTTTCATTTTCCCACGGTTTCTGTATGGCACCACCCTATGTTTTTCAAATGTACAAGTGTATATTTCATATTTAGTTAACACGGTGTCCAAGTCTCGTAGAGCAACCTATTGTCCCCTTGGAATGAAGTCTGTAGATTTAGAGAAGAGAAAGAATTAGGGTATGAGTTAGACCTCATCCCCTTTTATATAGATAATAATCAGTAATTATAGGAGTGCCACAAGGCATAAATTATGGGCCAGCCCATTACACCAATTACGGGAGAAAATCAAATAAGAATAAAATCACACAATATTATTTCCTATTCTAACACTCTTCCTCAAGCTGGTGCGAAGATATCTCTCATGCCCAGTTTGTTGAGAATGCCATTAAATGATTTGCTCCCTAGTCCCTTGGTGAGAATATCAGCTAGTTGGTCCCCGGTCTTCACAAAAGGAATACATATGGTGCCACTAGTGAGCTTTTCCTTGATGAAATGCCTATCAATCTCCACATTCTGTTTTGTCATGTTGAACTGGATTATGAACTATGTTGATTGCGGCCTTGTTGTCACAGTATAATCTCATGGAATCTGTTTTATGACCCCAAGTCTCCCAACAATAGTCTAATCCATAGCAACTCACATACACCTTGAGCCATAGCCCTGAATTCTGCCTTAGCATTAGATCTAGTAACCACATTCTGTTTCTTATTTCGCCATGTGACTAGGTTGCCTCCAACAAATGTGCAATATCCTGAAGTTGATTGTCTATCAGTGATTGATCCAGCCCAATCCGCATCAGTGAATGCCTCCATGCTGAGGGGTCCATGTTTTGAGAAATAGAGACCCTTTCCAGGAGAAGCCTTCAGGTATCTCAGAATTCTCATAGCTGCCTCTAAGTGAAAATTTTTAGGAGCATGCATAAACTGGCTAACCATGCTCACTGCAATGGCAATGTCTGGATGTGAGTGAGATAAGTATATGAGCTTACCCACTAGCCTCTGGTATCCCCCTTGTCCACTGGATCTCTGTCACGACCTAAACCCGTCCCTATAGGTTTAGTATCGTAACCGGCCAGTAATCCGTGGATTATCGAAGGCCTCTGAACAGATTAACAAGATTAAGGGGCTAGCGGAAGCAAATATATAAATATAATTATCCAATGAGCTGTGCTGACTTATATGAAACGAAATATTTAAAAACTTTATATACATATGCAATAGTCATTCATACATTATACCCACATACATTACAGTATCTTAAGTCTAGTCAACAGAATTAAAACAAGTTATACATATACATAGAACCAACAGAACTTGAACTCAGGACACTTCAGGAACCTCCACGTGAGGCACAATGGTTGGCTGACAACAGGACACAGATCCAGACAAAAGTCTTCAGGCTTGGGCTCCAGAATGCTCACCTATACATATATATACACACAATGAGCTAAAGTCCAATGAATAACATTAAGGTAAAGGGGTTAGTGAACGAAATCCGAACATATCATAATTAGCGGAAACAAATCAGAGCTTAGTCATTCTCATATCAGAACATAATAATGGTACATCCCATAGAACACATTACAGAACGTCTTTCGGCTAGAGTAATCGGTTCCGGATACCGAGTAAATACATATCACCACAATAAAGTGGCTAACGAGATCTCGTAAACACATGAATGTCATGGACCCGCATTTTCATGCCGTCCCTCATGACTTGGGACTATCTATGGATGCCATAATAGATTTCAAATACGGAATATTCGTTCACAAAAATAGATATCATTTCAGAAAACATAGCTTATCACATTTCATTTGGAACATAATTCATATAAATGTATCTTTACAATAACGTTACTCACAGTGGTTCCAGTAAGCGGTTAATCAATCCTCAAGTCTTAACCTACAATCACAAAATACATAGCACAAGCACATCTTATCATTACACATGTACACGGCCAACACGGCTTAGCTTACATTATATCGATTCTTGTTCTTCCTTAACACATTGCTCAAAACACACTCTTGAATCTCATAACTCAGTACATTCTTTTCTTAGTGTGTTTCTAATCCATAACCTCATTATCAAAGCTTAATTAAGGCTTAGGAATGTCTAAGATGCAATGAGGATGCCAAAACATGCCTTGGAACACTTAGTCAAAATTTCTGAAAATGAGGTCCACGCTCGAGCGTATCTTTCCTCGCTCGAGCGGACATGCAAAATGTGAAGGCTCGCTTGAGCGCACATTCCTTCGCTCGAGCGATCTATAAAAGACATGAAACTTCTGGGAGCTTGCAATTCACGCTCGAGCGGACTTTTGGTCGCTCGAGCGGAGTGCACGCACTCAGAGTGGTCACTCGAGCGTGAACTCCCACACTTGAGCGTAGATGCAAATTCTGGAATTTTCAGATTGCACCTTCAAGTTCAAAACTCGAATTCCCACCTTCAAAACACATGTCTTGGGCCCCAAAACTTGAGATAACATAGTAAACTTGTAAAACATGAAGAATTTAGGATTATTTCATAAAATCATGGCCCAAGGGTTTGTTAAAAACTCACAATTTCAACTTAAAACATGATGAATGTTCATGAACACAGCATGCATGAATTTTTCTTGTATCAAACTTCTCAAAACATGATCAAACACCACAAAACAACTTGAAACTTGATGATTTCCCTAAATGAAGATGAATTTCAAACATGCAAGAGAGAATTCTTGGAGTTCATGCTCAATTTGTGAGAAAATGTACATGCATGCATGAATTGTAACTCAAATCTCTATTCTAAGCTCAATATACACATCAAACTCATAATCTTGAAGAAATTCCATGCTAAATGACTTAGTTACACAATCTAGAGATTGTAATCTTACCTAGAGTCTTGAATCACTCTTGTTCTAGCACAATCTTTGATCAATTTAAGCTATAGCCTTCAATTTCTCTTTAATCTCTCCCTTTCTCTCTCTAGAATTGGGCTCCCTCTCTCTCTAAAATGAATTCTCAGATTTTTCCACTCAAGGGAGATGAAGGAAATGAGCTCAAATGAGCTTATGGCCCTGTTTGGTAGGGCTTATTTCCAATTTATTTAAGCTTTTAGCTTAATTTAAGCTATTTTGATGTGTTTGGTTCAGCTTAACAATACAGCTTATAGCTTTTTGTAAGACAAAAATCAACTTATTCTTTGAGTGGGGGAGGAGAAGCTTAATTTATAAGTCAAAAATCAGCTTATGTTCACAGTTATAAACTATAAGCTGTTAAGGTATAAGTTATAATCACTTTCCCACAGCTCTACCAAACGGGTCATATGTCTCAAATATATGATTATGATGCTAAAACACATTAATTAGAATATAAGGCTGACCAAACACGACTTAATGAATCAGACTGAATCAATTTTTAATAAAACTTGCCGTATGGTTCTAAAAATTCCAAATAACATATTGACGTGATCAATTTCGGTTTCGGATGCCGATAAGGCTTTCAATTTACATATTAAAGTGGAAATTTCAAACAGATATTTCTATAAGTAACAGATAGAAGGCCAAATATCATGCAATTTGCATATTAATCCCATAATTCATTTGATCCACTCAATTAGCATCTTTAATCACTGATTAGTAGCTAATTACGGGTTGGGATTATTACAATCTCCCTTTTGATCCTCACTTAGTT